TTAATAAATTTAATATTCTTTAATTCAAGTATTTAAATAATTTTGTATAAAATTTGCTGAATTTAATTTTTATTAAACGTTCATTTAATTTTCGTTTTATTTTAAGGCGTTAAAAAAAAAAAAATTCAAAACATAAATATTGTAGTCTTAAATTGTGGTTAAAATTTAATAAGGTTTGTTTTGTTTTTCTACTAGGGTCAAAACTACAACATTTAAACATTTAGTTAAGTTTATAATTATAATTATTTTTTTTTCTTGTTTATCGAATTTTTTAACGTTTTTCTCACAATTTCTTTTGTATAATTTACAGATACAAATTCTTTGCCAATAAGCATATGTAGATCTTTTCGTATCAGGCTATCTCAGCCAGCTATTGCATCTCTGTCTGAAATGCACTTTTCGATCGTAGGTGCTGTCCAATTGTAGAGCAAGCAACAGTAGCCAACTGAAGATATATCATATAATTTCTTTCCAAGAAATCAGCATAGGTCAAGCAGACGATGCAGACGAACCCAGACGATAGACAGAGGGAGACAGGGAGTGCGAGGGAGACAGACAGTGAAATTGGCGGCGATTGAATGGAAGACCCCGACGACGACCTCAGAGACAAACAGACACAGAGACAAACGCAGAGACTGAGACAGACAGCTAAATATACATACTTCATAAGTAATCAAAAAAAAGTTGCGTAGGACCAGTGCAAGAAGAAGAAGCAGAAGAAGCAGCAGACTCCAGCTGAAGTAGAAGAAGCAGACAAAGGCAGAGTCTAGACTCTGATGAGCTGCAGATAATGCTGCTCAGTTTTTATATGAAGATATACATATAAACTTTTTTTTTTTTTTTGATAAATGCGGCTCATCATGTAATTTTAAACGCAACGCGCATGTTAAACAAACAGTTTTCCGTGACAGTGTAAAATTTAGCCCCCTTCCCACACCAGTGAGGGGTTACAATGGGGAACTACATGTATGTGTGTGTGTTTGTATGTGTTTGGGCCAGCCTAATGTAATACTTGACAGCGGGATGACGCGTAAAGAAAGCGAGTGTTAAATGCAACTTTTATGCCATGTTGTTTATCTGCTTCTTCTGCTTCTTCTTCTTCTTCTTGCAACGTGTTGATGGATCTCTTCCTGTCATACATATAAAACAAGAAACAACAGAGAGAGTGGGAGAGAGAGAGGGGGGGGGGCGAGAGAGGGCACAAAGAGAAAGAGCTGCCAACCCGTTTAGTGGCAATGCATGTGGGCTGATGTCGTGATAGAACTTGTTACGCTTCTGCTTCTTCCTCTTCTACTACACTTAACTCGTAGTCGCATTCGTAGTGCTTGTTCTAGTCAAAAAAAAAAAAAAATTATCATTCCACATGCGTGTACCCCACACACACACATGGAATGTGTGGGTGCAGCTGTGTGCATGTGTGGGTGTGTGAAGGTGGCAGCAGGTAGCAAAAGCTTTCTAAATGAAAAACTTGATGATATGCCATAAGCATAAATGAACCCTATTTATAATTCAATTCTATAATATTTTTTACATACTTTTTTTTATGTTCATGAAAATCGTAAAAAATTAACTATATGACATAGATATATTTTATAA